CGACTTTAGTGACGATAACGACGCAACTTTAGCTTTCCGGGGTAACTCGGGACAGTTTAGCGTTTCCGAGTGCATGGGGTGTCATCGTTAACAGAAACACAACAATTACTCCGTGTATTTTAGCTCCGGCGTAACATACGCGAAGATATTACACTTTTAAACGAAATATAAATTTAGATACCGATAATTAACGTTTTCAATTGAAAGTAAATTTAAGAAAATATTACGTCTGATATTTTCTCATAACTGACGATGATCAAAGAAGGTCGAAAACGATTGTCATAAGACAGTCAATAAATAAATCGACTTAGTAGACAAAACACGCTTTGCAGTTTTAAAAATATAAAAGTCTGAAGGACCCAAAACAGTAGCTAGTAAAAGTTTCACGAAATAAGTACAAAATGTCAATCAATGTAAAGAAAGACGAAAGGTTCAGAATGACGAATGATTTAATATTACGTATCAATTTTATGGTGTCTTATTCGGAGTCGTTTCATGGCTAAATAAATGCACGAGGCTGCTCTGGACAGACTATTTCTCCTCTCGTTTCCTGCCTTACTTTGCTTTTCGATAGCGAACGCTTCCACGCCGTTTTATCTGAGTTCCATTCCCGGGCTGAATATTAATTAGCCCCTGTCACTGACAAATGCTTCGTCGTTCCTCTGCGCGTTAATTTCCTATAACGTATTTGCTGTAATTAGCCACTGCTCAGGGTATCGATAATAAAGAGAAAATTATTGGATTCCGTTGGCCGATTGAAATAAACGCTCGTGATCGCTTCATTGGTCATCGCGTCGATCGTAATGCTTCGTAGCACTATTTTTGATGAATGTAATAAACGACGATCGTTATAACGAACGAATTTTTATCTTTCGTCTCGGTTTCAAGGATCCATCTTTCGGTAATAACGAGGCACAAGCGCTGTCGAAACATCGAGACAATGTATTAATTTATAAACGCGTTATAACTGTGTACTGTCTAGAAGTGGCTCGGTTTAATTAACGACTGAGTTTAATGAGCTGAGCTTAATTAAAATTACACCGGATACACGTTACGCACGGAGGCTTGTCGCGAGAATAAGTAAACAGGGAAGCTGGAAACAATTTGCGTCATTTTCGACACGTACTGTATCACGTTTTTTAATAACGACGATAATACGATCTAAATAAAATATGCGTCTATAGAATTAGCTTCCATGTTACAGAGTACCAAGAAATTGCCACTTTCGCATTATTAAATTTTTATAAAAATTATTATTACTTCTTTAATAAAGACTATTTTTATTTTTATGTTTTTCAGCAAATAAAACAAAGTTGTTTTCCATAGAGGAAGTATATCCAAGCAAGGTGAAAAGGCGAGGTTCAGAGAACAAGGCTGTTTCACAACCTAACACAAAATCGTCGAATTAATAATGAATTATAGCCACTCATTATTCTTCATTATCGTATTTGAGCTGGAAACCAGGTAGTTTCGAATTGTATGGAATTTTAAAATTCACGGACGAAATACTCGTAAATAAATGTGAGGCGAGAAGATGGCCACGGATAAAAATTAAAACATCAAAGTCGGATACACGTAACACGCCCACAAATGTAAAAGTGCAATCAAAGTGTAAGATTATAGAAGGAAAATTCCTGTAATTATCAAAACAACAATTTTCGAGTCTCTGAAGCGAAAACACAAATAGGGAAACGATACAGAGGCGAAAGGACTTTCGAATATACTTCGAATTGCAAAAATATATCTAACTGAATAAATTACTAGTTTAAATTCACGATAAAAAAAATCAGAAATACTTTCACGTATAAATATTTAAATTTTGACGTCGATGACAATATCAAACTTTTCCGAAACGATCTTCTTCCACGATTTCCGTAACAATTACGCAAACTCGCATCAACCATAAGGATCCTTCGAACTCTATAAACTCTCGTTACCATTAATATAATCTTTAATCGCGGTTGACGAATAGTTTAAAATAACTACTCTCTGTGAAAAATTCCTCGGAGTTAATTGCTCGTGTAAGGTCGAGCAATTCGTTTACGCGAATCTCACGTGACTCGTCGATAAAAGGTATTGACTGGAACGATAAAACTGTGCCGTAATAATAAGACCGAGCACGATCATCGATGAACAAACTTCAATTACGCCCGCGTCTAATTAAATGTCGACGGGAGTCCGTTGATAATCATGAATACTTGTCAGTCACTTTCTCGTCTATTAGCTCCGGTGGGCTCGTTAACAATTGCTCCTATACTGAATGTCAGACTATCGAGGTGGAACGTTTCTGTCGCCATACTGAAGTTGGTCAACAGCCTCAGTTTCAATCAGATGATTAAGCGTTTCTAGAGATCTCTTTGCAGCGATTACACTGTTAACTAATGAATTGATTGATAAGTCACCTAGCAGTTGAGGCATTTATATATTCCTTGACATAAGCTGAGAGTCTTTTGGCAATTAATAGATGTACTAAACTTGGGATGAATTAAATAAAGAAGCAACTCATAAATAGAAAGAAATATCAAACTAAAAAATAATTATAATATGTATAATATATATATTGGGCGTGGTGCACGTTGATGTTCCAGGGTTCAGAGACTCAATTTGTTACGAATGGATTTATTTGAACGAAAAATGGATCCAAAAGACAAGCTCACAGTGACTTTAATCGCCCGTCAATGAATTTAACGAGAATCGAACTGGTTAAAGGTGTCATCTGCATAGAATAGCAACAAAAAATGCAGACACTTAGCAAGGTAGATCTCTCACATCTGTCAGACGTGACACGTTTATTTTAAACACTGTTACGTTAAATACTCGTGGAACTCATTAGTTAAGTTGCGCGCTTACAGTGCGCGTTATATGTGGTTGGTTATGCTAGTAGTCCCATTAGAGAAATTAGAAGAGTATTTTAAAAGGGTGCGTGTAACGAAAGCGAAACAATCGTGGGTATCGTTTAACTGCGACTGCTTTCTTTAAAATATTGCATGCTGCATTTGAATGTTTGCCTCTGCAACGAGCAGTGTTTAGACACAAAGAATTACTGACAAATGGGGAAAATACTTGTGACATTCTTTTAACGCAAGGAATACCAGAGCTATCGATGATGACAGAAACCATTGTCTGTCGTTGCATAAGCATTCATTTTATATAATCGACACTCGAATTAAATTACATTTTCTACGATTCTGTTTGCGAATAATGAAATCGTTTGTAGCAACGACAGAACAAAGAATCGAGCCCAAGCCTGAGCAAGCAGAAACTGGTCAAGATCGCCGCGTGCTTTCACGAAACAACAGGAAAAAGTTGTGGGAGTTAAGTGGCACTCCCTTCAAGGCATAAACAAGCGTTAGGGACATGAATGGGATCACGTAAAAAACAGATTTCCACCCTCGATCTCGTACACGAAACGTGATTTCAGTCCGTCAGCTCGAAGGAAGGGTGGAAAAAGGGCGTTACGGATTGGGGCTAACCCTGTAAGCGATCCCAGGGGCTCGTCAAGAACGATCTTATGATTGACCGTGTTACGGCACTCCCTGTAGACCATTTTCCGGTCGTATCTTGAAAATACATACATTCGAACGAGAGGCTGCGCGAACAAGAAAGACCGCTACAGAATATCGCGCAACGATCTGTAACTCCGTATCTCGATTCGGACATTTTTATGTTAGAATGACCGAATGGATCACGGTGGAGTAATTCACCGATAAATCGGGAAATACCTTTCGCAAATATCCATTAAAATTATAAGTAAATCGTGTCAGAGTGAGCTCCTTCTTGGTATTAAGTTATTACGAATATTCTAGTTATTTGCTGTCGTTTTCCAAATGTACGATTGCATAAAAATACAAATTAACATTTCATTATATCGCTCACTTTGCAAACGGAGTATTATATTATGTGAAACTACGTATTTCTCATTGACTATCAAAGATTCCACAAAGGTTTCTGTAAAAATTGTTAAAGGAGCACGCAGGAAAAGACAACAATTTTGTGCGTCGGTGTAAATAAATAACATTTCTACTCCAGAATATCGCGAAGGAATTTCCAAGTTCCTCGTTAGATAAGAAGGGCCTTGAATATTATTTATCACATAATTTTTGAAAAAACAAACGTCACCGATTGTAGTTTCTTACAGAAACGCTTTCGGTTTTCGACAACAATGCTCGAAAGTAAAAATCTAATCTCGTTAACACAAATTGTTGTACGAATAACACACAATGTAATTCGCATTGTAAAGTAAGGAACAAAGTAGCAATTAACCAGCACGTTCGATGTCGTTCGTGCCTTAAAATTGCAGGCTGTGAACCGATAAGTATGCAAAATAACGGAGGAAGAAACGCGACAACAAATATGAAACTGCCTCTCGTTCTGATCAAAAAATAAGTTCTTAATTTCTGTAAATATTTATTGTATTTCGGAGTGTGAAATTTTCCATAAACAACATTACGTCCCTTACTCTGAAAAGTTATTATATTTCTCCTAAACTATGAGATATCTCTCTGCCCGTACGATCGTGAGTAAACACAGACGTCGAAAACTTCAATTACACCTAATCTATTGCATAACAAAACAGTGTTTTACCTCATACTTTAATTACAATTGTAGATTCGCTTCGAAATCGTTTCTACGCTCAATCCATGAAAGGAGTTACAACCATAACGGACAAAATTGCTGTATCTCTTGCGCAACTTATAGACCGCGAACGATCCACATCGTCTCCAACACTGTACTTTTAAAAAACAAACACAGGTACTATACTTCGAACTGGAGCCCATATAAAAATCAACTGATCTAGAACACATTAAGCCATTCTTCGACGACGAACCGACAACCTTCAATTTCCAGTCCAGGTGTCAACGCGTATTCGGTTTCCAATTAAACTAAAAGACAAGTGCGCAAATGCGAGTGTCACTCAGCGATATGGCGACTCGTGCAGCTGCCCTGATTATCAAAGTCATCGGAGACTTAACGGTTAAGTAACCTGAAAAGACTCTTACCTTTCCTCTCGTCATCCTCATCGGCATGATCGACACCATGATGAAGATGATGGGCGGCCGGATGGTGGTTAGTTATCGCTGGCACCAGGGGGTGGTTCCCCAGTGCCGGATGTGGATGATGAGGATGATAATGACTGAGTAACCTGACAGTGGCTGCGACCACCTGATGCTGAGCCTGCATAGTCTGCTGAACCTGACTTTGGTCCTGTCCGAGGACAGGATGATGCGGTGGCCATCCTGTTAGATGAAACGGAAACACAGGTGGCGCCCTCTGGAACAGCCTGGCCGGCGTCAGGAGAGAACCACCGGAACCAGTGGAACCGCTACCAGGAGGCAGTGGATAGGACAGACCGCCTCCTGGTTCCAAGACCATGTTTGGTACCAACTTGATGATTAACTGTCTCTCCGACGGAGAGGCCTCACTTCCTTTGCATTTATGAACCTTTCCCTGGCTTCTATCGACGCTGTTCCTTAGACGTCTGTTATTCTTCTATGCTCATTGGAACCGACGAACATGGAAGACAGTCCAGTCACTTGAATCGGTGACTCGGATGAACATGGGAAGATTCCAAGCGAGTAGCTCGTGGCAACGATGCCCGGTTTGTTTACATTTTCTGAACCTCGGGTTTTGTTTTGGTAAAAGTTTACAGATGGCTTGCGACACTGGCGGAGACGTTGATCGTGTCCATTGAAAAATAATGACGACAGTTGGAGAGCAATTGTCGAATTTGTTAGCTGGTCTGACTGGGATAGGGCTTGACTACTCGACACAGGTGCCGTCGGAAGGCGAAACTCGGGGGTTCTGGTGACTCACGCCGATCTGTCTTTGTTCATCGTCCAAACTGAATCTCTCACGATCGTTCTTAGCTGTGACTCTATAGTTTGTCGCCGACAGACGTCAAAAATTTTAACAATCGTCTCCCAGATTTGAAAAATCATCGGGTAGCTAAACAGGCAGGATTTTGCCAAACACGTTAAACACGAGTCAGCCTAGAAAGTCCTTCTACACGAGCACAGTCTGTCAGAAATGTCACTTCGGTCGCACTGACGATCGTTTGGCGACCTTCTTCCGAATTGTCCCGACGATTAGTCCAGACAATGCTACTTGTTCCCCGCGTCCGTCGTTTGTTCCGGCTGCCGGCGCACCGAATAAAGAAAGTCACCAAGGAAACTAGACCGTTACGAAAAAAAAAACACCAGTCTGGGTACACACGGGGAATTTACACTTCCTGGTCCGGTTCTAGCAGCGTGATTGCACCTGGTGTTTATATTGCGCAATCGTCACCGGCGAAAACACTGATCAGCTGACGTGATTGGAAACACGGAGCCGTTCGATGACTCCGTGCGGCAAATTCGGCCGCGCAACGAACAGATTCCAGGGGTTCCCTTCTGGCAAGGTCCTGTTAGTGTTAGGACCACTACGGCACGAGCCAACAGCACAGCACTATCTGCCTGGAGAGTCAAGTCAACGGCTCCCCTCTGTACACGAAACCAAAACTGGTTTGGGTCACCACCCAGAGGCTTTGGATTGGTCGGGCGGTCGGTGGGTTCACCGGTGCCACTCTATTCCTGGCCAATGAGGACGGATGGATTACGGAGCGAACTCCGCCTCGTGAACGGTTTTTTTGCCCCGGAATTGAATCGACGCCCCTTCCTTCCAGTAACGGAATCGTGGTGGGGATGAATCAATTGGTGGCTGCCCTGAAACCAGCCGCAAGATGGCTCCTCCCTACCCCACAGCGTTCGGAAAATCACCCCTGCCGTGGACCAGGCTCCGTCGACCTTAGCCACCGGATACACTCGCGTCTCCTCGACGTCAAAATTTTCACCCCTCGAAAAAACGGAGTATCGTCTTCTTGGAACTTGGGTATTTTCTTTTTTGCTCCCGATTCGAACAACTCCGCCAATTGCACGGGATACGTTCGCGGGGAATCCGACGAATACCGATCGCGAGATCGATGCTCGACCCTCGAGAAACTCCGAGACAATCGAGTCTTGGCTTCGTTGTTAGACTTCGAGAGAAGGAGCCCGACAACGTTTCCCTTTCTTCGCGATCGGTCTCCGACGATTGTTGTGGATTCCACCACTCCGCGCAACCCCCACCAGGGGCGTATCTTCCACCCCTCCAGCCCTCGAGGGCACGATCCTCTTTTAATAAGAGGAGCTCGGAGCTCGGAGGCGTTAAGTAATTACATCTATTCTCTTCTGGGGAGGAAATTACCTGCGCCTCAGGGTGGGAAAAATTAGGAAATTAAAATTAACCCCCGCCACGAGCGTCAAGCCGTTCCTCCCTCTTCTCCTCGGTCTCCGTTCCACTCCTCCGCGCTTTCTCACTCCCTCTCGTCGACGTGCGCTCCGCTGGAACTCTTCGTTCTCGAATTTAGGAGGAGCCGGCGGCCATTACCGCTTACGTAATCTTTTTACAGTGGCGGCAGCACCTTGTTAAGCAAAGTTATTTAGCGCGCGACGCTGTGTTAGCCCGACTAGCGGCGTGTCTCCATCTATTCCAGTCAAAAAACACCGTCTTCTCGTCCGTTTCGAAGAATACGAGGCTCGATAACGATTTTCTACTGCGCGATCCTAGGCGATCTGTTACGAACAATCATCAACGAATGCCTTCTACCATGTTCTTTTATACAGGGTGCAGCCATAAACTGTCGATTCATCGTATAAAAGTAAAGCTTTGTTTGTTAACAAAATTACGATACTTTTAAGATAATAGTTGATGCAACTGTCAACATTCGATAATATAAAACCGCTGATAAAGCAAGTAACTCGAAGTTAAAGAATACATTTTTCGACGCGAGTCATCCTTTGCGGGAAAATCGATTTGGGACATCCGCCAAGTATGCGAGCAATAAAATCGGGCATGACTAATATGATCCAGAAGAGTTTGATAAAGACTCGTCAAATGTATTTCTTCTATTTCGAAATATTATTGCATGCGAACTGAGTTCGGTGAATTATAGTTCTTAAAACTGTTGTCACTATTTCCTATTTGCTTTGTGATTGGGGCTACGAACATATAATATTTTCTTACAACCTTCGTGATAAATGATTTTCAACGTTTACAAATTTTGGAGTATACTGTCGTTAGGAGTGCTCCAAAATACCAAGTACTCCAATAATAATCTATCGAATAAACGTCGAGAATATGCCTGATCAGGGAAAGCTGGCGTTAATATATTAAATGTATAATCGCTGATAAATGATAATTAGATGACAGGGAATCGGTGATCGGAGTGATAATTCTGAGGCAAATGGATACCAATCCTCCCGCGTGTTGGTTTTCACTTTTCGTTCCCCAGACTGCGTGATTCCGTCACGCGACAAAGGCTAAATACTCGCGTCCGGGGAGATGCAGTTTTCTTCTGGAATTAAAATTTCGCTGCATCCTATTTGTCGCGCGGTTGGAGCTTGCAGAATTTATACTCGAGAAACGCGCGCGCGTCAAGGGAAACGCTATCGGCTGACAAACGCGTCTGTAGTCAATTTGCCTAGTAACAGACACATTTCTATTATCTGTCAGAGGCGTCCATTCTTTGTACTCGTGACAGAACGTATTACGATTTTCTAAGTAGGACTGTTTGCGTATTTTTCCATTTATACTTGCTGGCACCGATGCAACCATCACTTGTATCTTGCCACTATCGAAGAGATATATCGCGTTCCAAAATGTGAAGATATTTGATTTTAAATTGTAATGATTTGTACATTTCTAAGCCAGGCCCAAAAATACATGACTCAAATAATTTTTATTCGACTAAAAAGTAATCGAATGAAAAATTTCAATAACGACAATTATCATCGTCCAGCTTTCTCGCTCCCACTTTTCGTGCTATCAACGCCCGGGGTCTTAAAACCAGCATAGAAATCTCTCCTAAATTTCGTCTCGAACCCCGACGAACCGCGATCCATTTTCGAATCGAACCGGCGATCCATCGAATACCGATCGATCGCGAATCGTTCGTGACTCCCGGGACGCGAGCCAGAAACTCGAACTTTTCCGGCGCAAATGTTGCTCCCCACCCTCTTAAAAGCGGTTGAACGAATACACACACATAGGAGCCGCGGTAAGAGGAAACTGGCGAGTTCCTAATTTACACAGCCGCCACATTCTCCGAAGCCCTTTTGGCCCAGACTCCGTAGCGACGTCGGAACTTCGCCGACGATTAAAACGCTTTAGTAATTAACTGGGTCTCCTCACCTTCCGCGGTAACAGTTACCAACCCACCAGGCGGTCTCCTTCTACCAACCGGTGGCGAGGATCGTTCCTCGTTCCTCGTTCCCTTACTTCGTCGAACGCCTCTTCTTCTCACCCTCTTTTCCCTCCCCCTTTCGCGCCACTTCTGGCCAGCCGGCGCATATTTAGGGATCGCTGGTTAGAGGTTGCCCGGGCAACCGCGCCGAGAAACCCTCTGTCGTTACCAGGGCAACCTTCTCCTCTCCTTCATCTTCCCTCTCTGGGTCTCCTTCCGAACACCAGCCAGATTCAATTCGTGAGAGCGAGAACGAATCGACTGAGTGGAAGGAGGCGTAGGCGCTAGACCCACGGCCCCGGTGACGCGAGGGAAAAGGGAGAGAAGATGCCGCACGTTCGGTGATTGTATTTGATAGCCCCGACCGTGGACGTGGAGAATGAAGATTCGACCTTGATTAAAGGTGGCCCCCCCGACCGCCATCCAAACTTTTCCGCGGGATATACCCCTCGCGCGCCACCCCGTTTCGACAACTTTCGGATCCAGGGATGCGTGTGGATCCTTGATTGTTTCAGCCAATTAGGGAACGAAACGTTCCTGGGTTTCCCGGACGAAAAGTTTTAAACGTTTAGCTCGGATTAATAAGCAAAATAAGTACGTGCGAAGATAAGGAGACTACCACAAAGGGGTTTTTGACTTTGGAAGATTTGAAACGAGTAGCAGACGTTGATTTAATTGGAAATCAAAAAATTGAGATGGACAGCACAATGTCAACCGAGAGGGGGATACAAGACATTAAAAATCATCAATTTTTTTGGATTTGGAAGTCTTGAAAATAATATGCAAGTCGTTTCATATTGGAATTCGCGTCATTAAGAAAATTATAGCCCGTCAGCGTAAACCGTACAGGTCGGACGTTACATTATAAAACTTTAAACGCGTTTTTTTCGAAATACTGTTTCTGAAAACGGTGTACGCGGTAACTGCAAAGTGGCTTAACCGTTTACCTTCAAATTTGGTACCAAAGTTTTTTATAACCTTCTGCGTTGCTTTACGAGCGGCTTTCTTCGTTTTTAATTTTATTCATTGTTACAAGAATCGTATTCTAAACTAAGCGAACTTCGACACACTATCGTAATTGATATAACACAGAATACAGAATGTGTTGTTATGA